AAGCAGGAGGGTAGTTAGGAAGACTGAATACTAAAGAATAACGTGTTGCGAATGGTTGCTTCAATGACCAGGCCATAAAAGATTATAAGCTGTACCGGTACGGGTATCCCTTTCTTCCCGAGGGCAAACCATACCGTCATTTTCTGGAACAGGTGTCGGAGAGGATCGTGGTCTGTTTCGTAAACGTCGAACAGGTTAACAAAAATGTCGTTATCGCCAATGCCTCAACAAATATGTCGAAAGGCGGCGACAAAGACTGTCTGAAATCAGTTATTGGTCCCTTGTCGTCTGAAAAGATAACAGTTGCCCCTCGACCATCGGCTACTCAACGCTACGCGACGACGTGCGTTGAGTACAGCAAATCTCAAAGCATGGTTGGTCATCATGGAGGTGATGCCGCGAACCATAACAGCAGAAGGCTGTTAAGCGTTTGCTCGACGAACAGCTTAATCGTTAGCAGGAATCAGTTCCCTCATACATTGGACCTCTCCTGAATGAAGTCCAAAGTCCCAGGTAGATCACGTCCTCCTGAATAAAAAATGGGACAGTTCCTTACTCGTGTCAAGCGCGAGGCCTGGACTAGATCTGATGACCAAACAGTCGCAGAGAAACCTCGATTGCAATCAGCCATGTCGCGTCAACATTGCCTGGTGGAACCACACCAGCGTCTCGACTCTGACAGGCTAAAATATGATGAAGCGATCTGGTCGGTCCACCGAAAGTAGGCAACACCCTCCTGCGTCGTCGAACATAGCCCATCGCCGCTTCCATCGTGCAGTCAGCGAAAGCTGTAGGCGGGGCAGGCATCTTATGCTGGACGAGCAAATCTGGAAGATCGTTAAGACAGCCAGAACGGATGACTAACGAAAAGTAATAAAGTAAGATTGACAGCTGTCCGGCCGGCTGAGGACTCGATTCGTCCCCGTCAAAGACGCTAAGGGTGTTTCATTGGCAGGTCAGAAGGAACGCCTCAAACGATGGGCTGGACATTTCCAGTACCCATTCAACAGCTGTTTTCCAGAGTGGTTAATTGTTTACCAACACCAGCGTTTAGTCCAGATCCCTCCACAGAACTAGAAATACAAGCAACTTTGCTACACTTCATCAGGAACAAGGCTTGCGTGGTGGAAGATCAAATTCTTTCGGAGTCAATTCGGATAGAAAAGCTCACTGCCCTGTTTCATCAGTTGTGGATTTCAACCCGTTTCCCTGTAGAATGAAAATGTGGAACAGTTGTCCTTATACTCAAAGGGGGTCGATCGACCGAGTTTTCCGATTATCGTGGTCTCACGCTCCTGTCAACTCCGGGGAAATGCTTCACCTGAATGCTTTCGTAAAAACTCAGATAGACAGCTGATAGAAGTCCGCTTAAATCAAGTAGGCTTCAGAAGAAGTACTACTGCAGCAATCAGTTTTCTCTGTTCATAAGATTATGGAGCAATACCAATGATTGCACTTGCGTCGGCTTGCCAGGTTTCCCAGACTTTAAGGCTGCATTCGATTCAGAACATCTTCTGACGATGTGGAAATGAAATAGCTCTTGAAATGCTACGGGATACCTGAACACGTCGTTTTCATTTTGTAAGATATGCACACAGCAACGTCAAAGCTGCAGTTGAGTTATCTGAGTAACTTTCTAGCAACTATCGAGTTTGTTAGGTAAATATTCTTTCGCCTTTGCCATTCAACACTGTTCTTGACTTTCTTCTCTGAAATAGTGCTAATCCTGGCAGAGACTAAGGGCACATTCTAGAGGGTAAGTACGGTTCAAAATATCCGGCTAAGCATCTTGCTCACAAGGAGTTGGCAGATGATAATGTCTTGGAGAGCGATCGGGTACTTGAGAGAAAACTTGAGCATAATGCGCACAGCTGCGAAATCTGGTGTCTTGATTAACCCTCGGAAGTCAAAAGATGAGGTACCAATACCGCGCCGCTGATCTACATGTTCGGCAGTCAAGTGAAGCCTCAGTAGAATAACGCTTTTTAAGCGCCGGGGTTATACAACGATGGCATCATCCAATCAGAACTAAATAGCATCGAGCGTTATTGCTAACCTGTCTAGTTATAGCTGCTGATGAAGGTGTAACTCGTTTCACAAAAATCCACCACACATCTTGTTTCGGCCAGTTCAGAGGTGCTGTGAGGTACGGAAACCGTTATTATAGCACAGGACCCAGAACTGCGGTAGAACAGCGTTGAGCAGCATTAGCTTCGACGCATGTACAGGGTTAAACGGCAGGACCAGGAAGACACAACACTCTTCTCTTCCTGTCAGAGGTGGCCTAAGTAACCTCTGAGACCGACAAGCGGAGGTTAACACCGTCAGAGAAAATGGTTGAGCATAATTCATTTACCCAAGCCCACTAGCTTCACATGCGTGCGCCTAAGCAGGGTCGACGTCGACCGAAAGGTCAGCACGCAACATGAGGAACAAGGTAAACTGAGGTCGTTTTCCGAGAGAAGCATTTCCTTCTACTATTTCTTCTATTTTCTTCTTCCGAAAGTGTTGAAAAGCCGTGAATACAGCAATATCACAAATTAAAGAACCACTACCTATGCAAACGGCTCAAACTAATGTCATCAACAAACAACAGGTTTTGTAGGCTTTAGCATTTTCTTTCTAATCTAGCCTCAGTATCCTCGTTGCTGAAGGAGGACAGCGACAGAGGTAACTATGCAATATCTAGCCGAACATGTTATGCTGTGATCGTCGTCGAAACCATGCAAATCTTGAATAGCAGAGTAGC